GTCAAGATATGTGATATGTATTGCACACATTATCAGAGGGTGGTGTTCCCAGTATCTCCAGCTAAGCAAGACTTCTTTCCAGCTGAAACTTTGTTCGTGTTGTCATCCTTTCAAGGGATTGTTAGTGATAGAAGACTGAACTTTGGGCTTTCTACCGAAAAATATCTTCCTCTCCAAAGAGATTTAAGCCTTGTAAAAGGACTTTGCTCCAATGATGGCTTTTGTTTTTATCTCCAGTAATGTTCCCCTTTTGTTGAGATTAGCTGAGCGTCGGGTTGTACTGGGACGTCTTATCATCTTCTGTCTATCTCCCCTGTCTGTCTTGTCAACATATATATGACATTGATTCATTCGTTCATACTTGCATCATGCACGCACATTTGTATTTGTTGATATCTTTGAGTTCGTATACCTTGGTTATGTCTATTCAAATAGCATATTTGATCTTTCCAAATAGAGTGTCAACTTAAGCAGAAAGTGCGCCTCTTTTCTAATTCCCCACTGAGTTAACTCTCGTGGAAGAACCTTGCTTTAGCTTTCCTTTTCCATCTCTGGATAGGATAAATCCCCATTTGAGTTGTTTCCTCATTGGGTGGAGTCTTGTTTGACTATTTTCTCTCCAGTTTATTCCTGGATTGAGCTTTGTCTCTTGTGAACGATACCCTGTGGATCACTCTAGGCTGTGAAACCTAGATGGAAAGCGCATTTATTTTGCAACGTAAATACTTGGTCTCCTCAAGAAGGATTTATTCATGGTTCCCCATTGAAGATGAACTTTATTCCCCAGCAGTGTTATCACAACCTTCTTCTGGAATATCGACATGACAACAAGTGACTGACTCTTTATTTGAGCAGTTTGATTATTTATGATTTCTCTACGACAAATGGCGGTCTCTTCATGAGCAGTTTGTCCATCCTCGATGAAATTATTGATTCTCACCTCCAGGAATATCTTCATGATATTTTATGGGTATCTTTGAAAAAACAGCAAGCGGCAGTCTCTTCATGGACAACTTGTATGTTATCAACACTTTTTAAAAACAACAAGCGGCAGTCTCTTCATGGGCAACTTGTATGTTATCAACACTTTTTGAAAACGGCAAGTGGCGGTCTCTTCATGAGCAGCTTGTACAGAAAATGGCAGGTGGCAGCTTCTTCATGAGCAGCTTGTACGTTAGTATTTTTGGAAGATAGCAAGTGGCAGCTTATCTATTTGAGCAACTTGTGTGTTATTGTTCCCTTGAAAACGGTAAGTGGCAGCTTCTTTATGAGCAGCTTGTGGGTTATTGGCAACAAGTGGCAGACTCTTCATGAGCAGCTTGTATGTTTTGATATTCTTTGAAGACAGCAAGTGGCAGCTTCTTTATGAGCAGCTTGTGGGTTTTGGCAACAAGTGGCGGACTCTTCATGAGCAGGTTGTGTGCTTTAATATTCTTTGAAGACAGCAAGTGGCGGTCTCTTCGTGAGCAGCTTGTATGTTATTGACACCTTTGAAAGGAAGCAAGTGGCGGACTCTTCATGAGCAGCTTGTGTGCTTTAATATTCTTTGAAGACAGCAAGTGGCAGCTTCTTTATGAGCAGCTTGTGGGTTTTGGCAACAAGTGGCAGACTCTTCATGAGCAACTTGTGTGCTTTAATATTCTTTGAAGACAGCAAGTTGCGGTCTCTTCATGAGCAGCTTGTATGTTATTGACACCTTTGAAAGGAAGCAAGTGGCGGACTCTTCATGAGCAGCTTGTGTGCTTTAATATTCTTTGAAGACAGCAAGTGGCGGTCTCTTCATGAGCAGCTTGTATGTTATTGACACCTTTGAAAGGAAGCAAGTGGCGGCCTCTTTATTTGAGTAGCTTGTGTATCCCCAACAATAATGTTTACTCAGCAAATGGCATCCCTTCGGAAAAGTCCCGTGGGGAAGTTTGTTATTTTATCCTTTTCAAGCGATATCTTGGTTAAAGAAGAAATGTGTTACCGTTCTTGGTAAAATTCAGAAATCAGAGATGTTTATCTCCAGCCACAGTGCTGATGTCAATCATTTTGTTTTCCAGCCACAGTGCTGATGTCAATCATTTTGTTTTCCAGCCACAGTGCTGATGTCGATCATTTTGTTTTCCAGCCACAGTGCTGATGTCAATCATTTTCCAGTCTCAGTACTGATGTCCATCATTTCCTTTTCCAGTCACAGTACTGATGTCAATCATATGCTTTTCCAGTCACAGTACTGTTGTAAATCATTACCTTTTCCAGTCCCAATACTGATGTAAATCATTCAAGAGTCTCTCATTTGAAGTCTATGACTTTGTTTCCCCAGTGGAGTTACAACCTCTTCCTCTGTGGGATTATTGTATAATGTGCTTGGTTTCTCCAGCATAGTCTGTCTCATATGGCGTCATTCCCCATAAAATTCAGAGCATTACATTCATATCATATCATGAACATAATCGCGGTATCTTAAGGCCAAAAATTGTGTATTCTATATTTAAGTCCCTTCAATCTCGTCGAAATGAAGATCCCAATCTTCATATCTCCAGATAGAAGAAACTTAAATAGGGGCAGCTGTTGTACCCTAATTTTTGACCTAAGATCCCATTTTTATTTTTGCATTTTTTTAAGATAAGTCAAGGTCACGAAATACGGTCGGTTTTAACGTCTCACCTTCGAGCTTTGACTATGCGAAGATTGTCAAGTGTTTTGAACATTTTTAGCATATGTATCACTAATTTCTAATCGCATACAAAGGTGTATGTTCATGTTTTCTTTTGTGTCATGTGCAGAGACAGGTCTGAATCAAGAGCATCAGGTGTCGCGCCTCAATTAAGGTTTTGAGTCTCCCAAGTCAAAAGTACGGTTGATTATGGATTCTCGAAGACTGATTCATTAAGGCACAACTGTCGCACCCCATTTTTCGCCCCTTCACTTTTTTCGACTGGTGCATATTTTGTCGTTAATTTGAAAAATCGATCATTTCGCATACTTTCTTGTTTTTATTCATCATTTTAATTTCTATTTAAAAAAAAAGAATTAAAATAGTTTATCATTTGCATTTTTTATCATATTTCCAATGAATTTGTTTTAGTTCAAAAATCTGTCTTATTATTATTTTTTTCTTATTTTAATCTATTTCTATTTCTTTTAGATATTACTAACTATTTTCCCTTTTTCTCATTATTATTATTATTATTATTAGTATCTTTATTGCATTTTATTATTTCATCTTTTATTGTTACTAATTATTTTTATTTTTGTTCTCATTATTGTTATTATCATTGTTGCATTTTATTATTTTATTTTATTTATTGTTACTAATACTTTTTTCTTCTTATATTATTGTTACTATTATGTTATTATTTGTTTGTTTTTGTCAAAAATAGAGAAAGAAAATTGCAGAGTGGGACCACATCAATATCATCACACGATTATTCATAGGACAAGTTCATGAATTTTGCAGCAATAACAAAACCGGATATCAAACAAATCATTTTCTAACTATTCATCATCCATTATTCAAACTCATTCAATTCTCAAGACATCTCAAAAATATAATTTCAAAGTTCCAAATAACCTTTGTCTCATCCATTTGCAAGTTGCACAAGTTTAAATTCCCAAATGACATTCAATCAAGCTCTAAGTCAAAATTACAAGTTACCACAACAATTTTACACAAGTGTTTGTACAAGAAAACAAAAATCTAAACCTAAAGCTAAGGCTTGTTCTTGATCCGAAATTCTGCCCAAATAATGCCAAAAAAATTGATGTTGTATGCTGCTCCAAACCTTGCACATCAGTCTAAAAAACAGCCTGCCACTTGTTGCTATCATGCTAAAAATTTGTCATCATGCTGAAAATTTGTCCAAAAAACCTGTTGCACAATAGCTCCAAAACCTGCTATTAAACAGTCAAAACTAGACAAAAATGGTCATGATGTCCATTGCATACTATCCAAAAATTGCATGAAAAGGGCACCACAAAAACTGCCGCAAAAAGTGTTAGAAGAATGCACCATAATTGTTCAAAACAGCTCATGTTTTCCCTCCATTTCCTCATTGATTCACCTATAAAAATAACTTCTCAAGAACATGGAAAGAAGAGAGAAAATGACTGACAAAAAAAGAAGGCATTAGGAGATAACTTTTCACATGGAAAACCAACAATACATCATAAAAAAAAAACTCACCATAACCTACCATTGCAAAATTATGTTTAAATAGAGAATCATAAATTCTGCAACATTGCATTCTGAAAACCCTGCAAATCACAGCATTTAAAACTTTGAACACAGTAGATGAAGAAGAGGAGTGAATCAGAGTAAAAAAAAAGCATCAGACCTCGAAGATTGAAGACCTGTCGGAGGAGCTCTGATTCGGTAATTTTATTTCCCTTTCTTTTTCCCTATCGATTATTGTTGTTGCTTGCCTCGAAACTGTTAGCGTTAAAAATAATTGATGTTGTTAAGTTGTGATAAAGAAAAGAAACCAGATCGAAAACTTAAAAAAAATACAGTAAACCAATTACCTCTTATCGTCACCGTTCCTCTACCCTCCAATCTCCGTGAAAATCACAACCTTACAACACCACACTTCTATTCCTCTCGTTCTTCACGCCTCTGCTACAAACCTATCCCAAACAGTTTACAAAAACACGGACGTACACATTAACTTTTTTTCAGATAATTAGTTTCAAAACCACAATACAATATCTAACACTTTTGGTACACAATTTTAGCTGTTTTCTGCATAAAGAAGTGAAAAGAACAAGTACAGATCAAAAATTAAAAGAAGTTTAAAACAGAAACGAGAAAGGAAAGAGATAAACCGTCGTGAGATCCACCTAAAATCGTAAACCCAACACTGTTCCGGCGTTCCCGGTTCAAACCCGAACATCCAAATATCAAACTTCAAGCACCTCCATTTTCGATGAAGAAGAAGAAGTGGTTGAGAAGGTTAACAACCAGATCGACGATAACCAAGACGAACTAGAAACCATCGCTTGTTCTGCTATCTTCAATGATGATGACATGCCGGATGAAGGCGAAATCGGTGAGTGTGCCGAAGATAGGCGATAATCAGGATGAAAGCATTGCGAATCTTGAGATTAGTAAGCGTGAGAAAGCTAGATTGAAGGAATTGGAGAGAGTGAGGAAACAAAAGAGGGTGATGTTGCGGATGAGAGAAGAAGATGATCGTTTCCTTGTTTGTCTCAACCTTATTTTATTTCTATGTTGGAATTGATAACAATAAAATTAAATTTGCATCCTTTTCCCTTCCCCGTACAACAAATCCAGCGCCTCCTCCTTTTGTTTAGGGTTTTCAAAACCCTTTCTTCATCCTTCCAAAAGCGGGTCGAATCCATGGGCCTTTTAGCCCAATTTTGTTTAAACCTTTTCCATTTTTAGGTTAGTTAAAATGTGCATATGATATTTAAGTAGTATTAGTCCAATTGCAAAGTTAGTTTAGATTAAAGAAACATGAGTTCAATTCCTACTGGAACATTTCTTTTCAGTTTTTGTTAGTTCTTTAGTCTTATTTTCCAAAAAAAATTAATTAATATTGGTAAATCTTATAATCAATTTATTTTAGTCTTAAATTAGTATTAATTTAGAATTCTTTTAGTTAGTTTAGATTTAGTTTAAACTTTTCAATTTTTATTTTATTTAGATTTGACTTAGTAAATTTTAGAATTTTATTTGTTTTAGTTTTGACTTAGTAAACTTTAGAATTTTATTTTGTTTTAGTTTTATTTTAGTAACTTTAGGATTTTTATTTTATTTAGATTTGACTTAGTAAATTTTAGAACTTTATTTGTTTTAGTTTTGACTTAGTAAACTTTAGAATTTTATTTTGTTTTAGTTTTATTTTAGTAACTTTAGGATTTTTATTTTATTTAGATTTGACTTAGTAAATTTTAGAATTTTATTTGTTTTAGTTTTAATTTAGTAAACTTTAGAATTTTAGTTGTTAGTTTTAGTTTAGAGACTTTAGACCTTTATTTGATTTAGAATTAGTTTAATGAGTTTATAATTTTTATTTGATTTAGAATTAGTTTAATAAGTTTAAAATTTTAATTGTTTAGAATTAGTTTAATATTCTTTTAGAATTTTATTTGATTTAGATTTAGTTCAGTAACCTTGGAACTTTTTTGTTTTAGATTAGCAACCTTGGAATTTTTATTTAGTTTAGATTTAATTTACTAATTTTAAAATTTTTTAATTTAGCTTAGATCTAATTTAGTAATTTTAGAACTATTTTTGCAACCTTAGAATTTGTAGTTAGTTTAGAATTTTTTTTAGTAAGTAATCTTAAAATTTTTAATTTAGTTTAAATAACTTCTTTAGATAATTAGTTACATTCTCTTTTGTTTTATTTAAATATCTTTGTCTTTTTAATTTCTCGATGCCTTTAGGTCATTAATCTGTTTCGTTATATTTATTTTCTTGTGAATTTTGATTGCTTATATTTTGATGTCTATTTTATTTTTGCTCGCTCGATTTAATCCAAGAGAAAAAATGATTAAATTTGTTGACTTCATGTCCTCAAATCCAATCGCGCGAATACCTTCATTTCATTGAAAACTTAAGATAATTTTCCCAAATATTCAATTTTTTCAAAACTCATACCTTTTAAGTCAAAACTTCGACATTAGGTCGTCGTATCTTCAAAAAACCGTCCGTACCCCTTTTTGGCCAAAACAATTTATTTTTAATCAAACAAACAATTTTAACCAAAAAACAGATATTTCAAAAGGTTCCTGCGGAGTACCGCAGATACATTTGGTGCTAATACCTTCCCATTGTATAACCAACCCCCGAACTCTCAATCTCTTTTAAAAAACGCATTGTATTTTCATTACTTCTAAATATTACTTTACATTGCATATTTTTAGGGTTTTATTTCGCTCTTTTCCCTTTTCCCTTGGAAATAATAAAGCGCGGTGGCGACTCTTGCTATTTGTGAGTCAAGTTAATTAATAGCTTAATCTCCGATTTTCACCGCTACACATATGTCATATGGACGTGAAGTGTGTATTCCTGAATGGACCCTTAGACGAAGAAGTTTATGTTAAACAACCAATTGGATTTGTGAAACATGACGAAGAGAGAAATATGTACAGGCTGCATAAAGCCTTGTATGGATTGAAATAAGCTCCAAGAGCTTGGAATAAGAAAATTGATAGTTTCCTAAGGGAGAAGGAATTTGTAAAGTGCACAACTGAACATGGATATATGTAAGAAGAAGCGATAGTGAATTGATTATACTATGTATTTATGTAGATGATTTGTTGATAACAGGTAGCTGCAAAAGTGAGATCGAAGACTTCAAAAGTGACCTCAACAAGGAATTCGAAATGTCTGATCTGGGTGAGATTTCATATTTCCTTGGCATCGAATTCTACAAGAGCAGTAGAGGTTTGATGATGCATCAAAGAAGATATGCAGGAGAAATTCTCAAGAGATTTGAGATGGAAGAATGCAACCCAACTTCGACACCTGCAGAACCAAGACTATAACTGTCGAAAGATGCAGATGAAGATGATGTTGACCCAACTCGATACATAAGACTTATTGGGTCATTAAGATATATGTGTCATACAAGGTCTGACTTAGCATATAATATAGGTATGGTAAGTAGATTCATGAAGAAGCCAAAGGTATCACATCTAGCAGCGGTGAAGAGGATACTAAGGTATATCAAAGGAACTCTCAACTATGACATTTTGTTTCCCGCAACTGAAAAAGGAAAAGAATGCAAGTTAGTAGGATACATTGATTCGAGTTGGTGTAGTGATGCTGAAGTTCGAAAATCAACAGCAGGATATGTGTTTATGTTAGGTGGTACATCAGTTGCTTGGAGTTAAAGAAAGGAACCAGTAGTGGAATTATCATCATGCGAAGTAGAATACATAACTGCTTCTCTTTGTACATGTCAAGCAACTTGGATGGTGAACTTGGTCGAAGAGATATCAGGGAAAGATCATGGAGCAATTACCATGAAGATCGACATTATGTCAGCTATCAATCTGGCGAAGAACCCGATAGCACATGGATGAAGCAAGCACATCCAAATGAGGTTCCATTATCTTCGAGAGCAGGTAACAGATGGGAAGATGAATTTGGAACACTGTAGAACTGAGAATCAGATTGCAGACATCATGACGAAGGGATCCCATGTGAAGGTCGAAGTGTTCAGAAGACTAAGAGTCATGATGAATATAGATAGTTTAGACACAATGAATTAGGTGGTATGTTAAATTGTAATTCATAGTGTCAAAACTAAGGTGTGTTGGAGAGCACACGCATTAGATTTATTTTAGATTTAAATAGATTTGATTTAGATCTAAAATAGAATAGATTTGATTTAGTACCAAAATAGGTATTTTGGGCTTATGGAGCAAGCTAAATCTATAAATAGTGAGTAACTCCTAAGTTTGTAATTAAGTCAATTAAGTTGTATTCACAGAATTTGCAGTTGCAAGTGAATAACAAAGTTTTCCACAGTTTGTGGGCAGAGAGAAACACTGCAGAAAATAATTGTCTTCTTTCTTTTCTTTCTTTTCTCATAATTCATTGTCATTTGTGGTGATATCAATTTTGTTCATCAAAATTGATAGAAATTTATCATAGATATTTGGTGAATTTCTAACATGGTTTAATCCGTTTGTGTTCTTGTTTCCCTTTTGTTATATAAAAATAGTAATTAGTTCCTTCTCATAGGAAGACTTAGATAAATTTCTTACCCTTGATATTTTGTTCAATACTTTGTTGAACTAAATTGAAGTGGTTATATTTCAATATTGTTGCAACAATTAACATTAATATTATTACAAACTTTTTCTTTTTGTAATTTAAAGTCTACTTGAAAGAAATTTCTCATGCAAAGTCTACTTGAACATAAACTTCATATGCATGCTTGCAATTTTCCATGATCACATTGTGCCAAGATATTATTCAAATTAAAAATAAAAAATATACAATTTTTTAGACAAATTGCAATTAATTGGCAAAGAATTACAATATCCAACCAACAAGTACGGCTAAATTCCTTAGGCTTCTTATGTCTTCTTAATATCTTGTTTAGAGTCTGAAAAATAAAAGTTTAAATGTAATTATATTCTTATAAAGTTTTAATAACTTTTACTCTCCTATTTTTAAAATTAGTTATTTGTTCCCTCTATTTCAATGTTTTTAGGATTTTGGTCTTGCATCTAATTTTGTTGAGGTCTTAATTTATTTGACGAGATGATATATCTCATATGAAATTCTTTATTTTTCATGTCATTATATTTTAATTTTATTTCAATTAAACATATTTATTTTTTAGATATTTTAAATCAATTCTAAAATATAATATTGAGTACTATTATATATTAAATATTTTGTTTTTATTTTTTTATAATTTTTTGACATCTTCATAACTCAAACTCAAATCTTCAACAAAAAAAATCTTCATATCTTTGTTTTCTTCAATTCATATTTTGGTCAAAATTATTTTTAAAATATTCACATCTTCTCACCTTAATTCCAATTTTCATCAAAAACTTAAAAAATTAAAACTCACAAACCTCCAACAATCATAAATTATTGAAACCAGATAATGAATATTTAGGTTGAAAAGAAAGAAGAATGTAAATGATTTTGAAGAAATGGTATGAAGCTTTTCTTATTAGAAAAGGAATTATACATTTCACCAATAATAACATAATCTCATGTATTTATTTATACATGCTAACTAATTTGGTTAGTGGATCATAACTAACCAATAATTTATTGAAAATCCACAAAAAATCATAATAAATTTTTATCAATTTTAATGAATAAAATTGTTATCACTTCGTACTGAGTATGTGTGAAGCTTTAATTAATATGCTCCTAAATTATTCTACTTTTGATTTTATCAGATTGCTCTCGTAAGTGTGTAATGCTTTCTCAATTCAAGTATATAAAACTTAGTTATGAGACAAGTTGGATGGTAATGCCAAACTGTGAAATAAATAGCCACCTGCACTTGTCAGTTGCAAGATGAAAAACCAAATTTTATCTCTAAATTTCAAAACAATAAATAATAATAATATTGTTTTACTTCACATTGTTCGGTATATATTTTTTGTTTTTTTATCAAATGATTTATTTTCTTTGTTTTGTATGAATCATAGGATTTGGGCTTCTATTTTGTATTTTGGTTCTATATTAGGTAGAATAAGTATAGATTTCAGATGCAAAATATATTAATAATAC